CCGCGGCACAGCTACGCGCGACGGCATCGCGGTGGCCTGGGCCACACTGGAGCACCTGCTGGTCTCAAACCAGTGCCTCACGCTGTGTGAGACGCCTGGCACGGCTCGCATATAGCGCTGGGCGGGTAGCAGCCGGCACGCGCCGCGCTCGCTTGTCCGCGACGGGCGCTGTGCGATGGATGTGGTGGTGGGGTCATTGAAGTCCCCACCTCGGGGTGTCGCATCCACAGCAGCGGTGCCTGCCCCTCGCTTCAGCACACACACGAGCACGTGCGCACGCACGCACGCACACACTCACATATGCGCGCACACAAGCACGCGCACACATTCCCGCATGCATGCAAGGACCCAGTACACCGCCAACCCAACCCGCCGTTTTCTTTCTTCGGCCGCCTCCCTGCCGCCAGTCACCACACATTACCCGGAGGTCTGGCGGTCGCTGGAGGGCAGCGGCGAGGTGGCGCGCCGTGCGGCTGTGTGGCACATGGCCTACAGCGCGGCGGGCCGCCAGGACGATGGCGACGCATGCACAGCGCAGCAGGCGGCGCCGCGGCAGCATGGGTCTGGTCACGGGCTTGTGGCGGAGGCCGCATCAGCAAGCAACTGCACTGGCAGCCGCGGCGACGGCGGCACTGGCGGTCACGAGGCGGCCCAGGGCGGGCCGCCGCTGGTGTTCCTGTACCAAGTCCGCCCTGGCGGCGCTGGCCGCAGCTTTGGCCTCAACGTCGCGCGCATGGCCGGGCTGCCCCCGCCAGTGGTGTCGCGCGCGTCAGAGGTCGCGCGGCACATGCAGCAGCATGACCAGGCGCGCGGCCCTGGTGGCAGTGGTGGGGCCGAGGGCAGCGGCGCTAGGGACGCCTGTGGCGCGGCGGCGCAGGGTGCGGCAGTGTGGCACGTGCTGCGCGAAGCCCTGAGCGGCCTGAGGGGCCTGGTGGGCGGCAGCCTGGCCAACGACAGCAGCGGCCCGCAGCGGGCGCCAGGCGGGTGCGATCGCGACGAGGGCGGCGGTGGGGGCGTGAGCGGCGGCGAGTGGGTGGAGCGCACGCAGGAGGCGGCGCGACGGGCGCTGCTGCACGACCCCTAGTCAGCGCGGCCCCTCTTCGCCCTGGCACTCGCTGCAGCTGCGTCCATTGAGAGCTGAGCTCACACAGACGTGTGGGCTCTTTGACAACACTGTAATTCAGTGCTCCCCGCCAAATCAGTGTGATACTGGTTGGCCCCTGGGTTCTGTCCTGGGCTGCGCTGCACAGGGCTGCTGCGTGCGCCGCTGCGCCCCTGGCCTGCACGCGACCCGTGCGCTCCCTGTGAGCTGAGGCGCCAGGGCAAGAGTCCGGTGTTACCGGGTGAAGTTCAGCCACCCCCAACCAAAGAAAACTGACGCGCCAACACAAGCTGGTGAAGTGTTATTGGTGCTCTTTGTGTCAAGAAGGGGAGGCGATACTGTATAGTGCAGGCAGGCAAAGCGCATCATGGCAAGCGGGGCACAAGTTCATGGGTTGGGCTCCTGCGGGGCGCGGTCCGGTGCGCCCTCGCAGGCTGCGGGGCGGTGCCCGCGCAGCGTGTAGCGTATGAATGAGTGGGCAGTCGGCGGCGAGGGGGAAGGGGTTGGATCGGCCCATTGGGAGGGCCGCGCGGCGCGCCGGTGCAGCGTGCAATGCCGCTGCCAATCAGGGGTCTTCCCTGGGTGGACGGAATGCGAGCAGGCAGGAGGCACGGCGCGCAGGGGCCTGGCGGGAGCCGCACCAAATCCCCTTTCCCCGTTTCGTACTGTGGCTGCGTGTGCCTTAGCCCCGTGCGCCCGCCCCGCAGTGCAGCCCGGCCCAGGTCTGGGGCCGGCAGTCTCACCGACGATGGCCGAGGGGCGCAATGGGCCCGCAGCAGTCAACGCAACACGTGGGGGCACACAAACGGCAGCCGGTGGCCTGGCCCCAACAGTGAGGGGAGAGGGTTGAAGTGCTGTGACATATAAGTGGCCGTGTTGCGCCGCAGGTATGGGGTAGGAGGCTCGCGCCACGGCCGCCCAGCCTTGGCGTGGCGCGCGTGGTGGTGCTGGTGCTGGGGTTGGCCCCCCTCGAGGCATTGCTGATGGCGCGGCCACGGGTCGCGCACCGGACCATCGTGGCAGGGATAAGGAGGGGGTGGCTTATTGAACAGGGTATCAAGAGGGGTGGGCCTGCGGCGCCGCGCGATTACGTATGGTGGTCCAAGGTGAAAGGGGGTTGAGGACATGAGGGCTACCAACTGGAGGGCGGCCGAAGCAAGGGGCGGCGGGCCGCGGCTCGAGCCGCCGCCACCGCAAAGCAATAGCCGGCGGGTGCGGCGACGCAGGCCAGGGGGGCACGCCCAGTGGCAGGGGCGCGCGGGTTGCTGGGCGCGAAGAAGAGGCAAAAGGGACGGGTCTCGGCCATGCGCGAGTGCCAGGGGGCCGCGCACGCCCTACAGGGCAGGCAGGCTGGCTGCCTTGCCATGCCGAGTCCCGGGGGCCGCACGGCCTGCGCGCACGGGGCCGCTGCTGTTCCCCCCCTTGTCTGCGGTGATGGCCTTGACGGGCGGCGGCATGCGCCTGCTGGTGAGTGTTCAAAAGTTCATTGTCGGTGCCACGCCACTGCCACCCCTAGGCCTGTGTTGGGGGCCCAAGGGGCGACAGAGCAGGCCAGTGGCGCCAGACCAGCCCCACACGCACAGCAGCATCAGCACGTGACAGACAGATGATGGCGTGGCCAGGAGGTTGAGGTGTGAGGAAAGGTCGGCACGGCAGGGAGGGGCAAGGGGCGTGCGGCGCCCCCCCGCGCCCCTCCCTCTGATGCAGCGGCACGCAAAACAGTGCGTGCCCTCCAAGGCCCCTTTCCCGCAATTGCGCATCCGGCAGTTGTCCCACGGCCCAGTGCAAGTGAAGAGGTGCCGCCTGAAGGCCGGGCGGGGGGAGCCGCAACCCCCTCCCCTGTGGCGAGCAGCGCCGGGCCGCGCACCCATGGCAAGATGCACGAGAGGAGGGTCGGTGTGCTGGTTGGGCCCACGTGCATACGTAGTTGATGGAGTGTATTGAGGTGTACCATGGCAAAAAGGTAGATAGTTCCGATACCGCATGAGCTGCGAGCACAGACAGAGCGGTGCTGTGGTGTTGGCAGCGCAGCGCAGCGGAGGGGTGCGGCCGACTGCTGCCGCACCCCCCCTGCTGCGACTGCCGGCCCGCGATTCAACTCGGCATATAATTGGGAGGAGTGCGGGGCGCAATGGTGAGTGGAGGACGGCAGGCACAGGGAGGCCGGCAAGGCCTCTCCCCGCTCCCGCCGCGCCCCTTCAAGGGGGCACGACGGCACTGGGCCGGGGGTCCATGGCGGCCCCCGCGCTCAGGCAAGGCCGCGCACGCTGGTGCGCACAGCCTGGGCGCGGGTGTGACGGGGGTGCGCGCAAGCACAGACAGACGGACAGATGAATGGCACAGAGAGCCCCTCCCCTTCCTCCCCTCCCTGCAAACAAGATGGGTTGAAAGCCACGCGCGGACGAGTGATGCAGCAGAGCCACAAGAGAGGGCATACAGGGTGGGTGCAGCCAGGCAGCGCTTGGGTGGCGGCCCCGCCGAGCTTGCGGGCAACGCGCCACGAATCAAGTTGCAGCAAAGCTGCGCGTGCAAACATTCTGTGCTTCAAAAGAAAATGACGCTGGCCCGCGGAGCAGCCGCCGCCCGCACACTTGAATAACGAGGGCGGGCACCAGCGCGACAGGGTGAGTCTGGGCAAAGCACCGCGGACTGGTGCATGTGCCTGCCCGCGCGAGCGCGTATGCCCCTGTGGACGGCTCAGCCGGGCGGCGCCCTGCCAAGCCCCCCCGAGAAGGTGCGCCCAAGGCCGCCGGACGACGCCCTGCCCAGGTCGCCCGAGGGTGCGGGTGACGCGCCGCGCACGCCGCCGCTGACCCCTGAGGCCAGGGCGCTCAGCTCGCTCCTCAGCGCAGACGCCAGCGCGCGCACCACCTGCAGCCGCGGGGCGCCGCGGCCGTTGGCGCCGCTGGGCGCCGCAGCCGCGCCGCCGGCGGCCTGGTTGCCTGCGGCGGCGGCCTCTGCGCCGGCTACGGCTGCGGCTGCGTCCGTGAGCTCCTGGAGCTGCGCCGTCAGCGCGCGCAGCTGCAGGCCGCCGGCGCCACGCGCAGGAATGGAGCCCACCAGGCCTGCACCCATTCCCAGGGGCGGGCTGCCCGCCCCGGCCTGGCCCGCGCCGCCCTGGTCGCCTGCCGAGAGCACGAGCGGCGCGCCGAGGCTGTCCAGGCCGCCGGGCCCGGCGGGGCCGCCACTGCGCGCCTTGGGCAGCTGCGCGCTGCCGCTGGCGGCCTGGCCCTGGCCCTGGCCGACGTCCATGCTGGCGACAGAGGAGGTGTCCGAGGTGAATGAAGCGGCGCGTAGGGTGGCGTGGTTGATAGCGTAAGCCTGGCCCCCGACTGGTAGCATCATCACAGGGCCCGACTGGAGCTGCTGCGCCTGCTGCTGCGCCTGCTGCTGCGCCTGCTGTTGCTGGTGCACCTGATGTTGCTGTGCCTGCTGCTGTTGCGCCTGCACCTGCTGCGCCTGCGCCTGCTGCTGCGCCTGCTGCTGCTGTTGCTGCTGCTGCTGCAGTGACGGCATGACCGTGAAGGCCGGAGACGTGGGGGCCCCAAAGCTTAGCTGGCGCTGCACGAGCTGCTGCAGCGGCGGCAGCTGAGGGTTGGTGAACGAGCCGCCACCCATGTTGTGGCCCGGCTGAGTGAACGAGCCGCCACCCATGCTGGAGCCCGGCTGTGAGAATGAGCTGCCGCCCATGCCATGGGCTGGGTGCGTGAACGAGCCCCCGCCCATGCCGTGCGACGGCTGAGAAAACGAGCTGCCGCCCATGCCGTGTGCTGAGTGCGTGAACGAGCCGCCGCCCATGCCGTGCGACGGGTGTGTAAAGGAACCGCCACCCATGCTGTGTGCAGGCTGAGTGAACGAGCCACCGCCCATATTGTGCCCAGGGTGTGTGAATGAGCCGCCACCCATATTGTGTCCGGGGTGCGTGAACGAGCCGCCGCCCATGCTGTGGGCCGGCCCGTGCGTGAACGACCCGCTGCCGCCGATCTGCAGCAGTGCGCTGGACGAGCTGAACGTGCTGTTGGTGTCCATACTGCTCACATGCTGCAGCCCCGGCTGCTGCAGCAGAAACATTGCCGGCCGCTGCCCCTGGGGCCCCTGCTGCGCCGTCTGCTGCATGTGCAGCTGCACTTGCTGCGCGTCCACGAAGCCGATGGGGGCCGCGTCGCCACCCCCACCGCCCAGCAGGACATCGCCCATGCTTGAAGGCGGCAGCAGGGCCTCACCGCCCGGGCCCATGCCCACAAACTGCGCCCCGCCGCCGCCGGTGCCGTTGCCGTGCTGCTGTGCGCCCACGGCTGCAGCCAGCAGCATACCATGGTCATCGTCACCCCAGCCCCCAGGAGCGCCCTCGTCGCCCGCGGGCCCGTCCTCCATCATAGGGGGCAGCGGAGTCGACGCGCCACCCGGCCGCGCGGCACCGATGCCCGGCGGCGCAGCCATCATGCCGGCTGAAATTAATTGCTCCTGCGTCGGAGCACGCAGCTCGTCCGGCCTTTCGGGAGAAGACGTGGTGCGTGGGTGGCGGGAGGAGGGGAGATGCACGTTGGCCCGAGGTGGCCGGCTGACGGTGGCGGGGCATGCGGCACGACGTGGCAGCCTGCAGCAGGCTGCATTGATGGGGTGTGGCCGCCTTGGCGGGCCCCTGTGCCGTCACGCCCACCGCTGCGGCCACAGCCTCTCCCAACGCACCTGTGCGCAAAGAAGCACAGCCGCCGGTCGCACAGGGGTCCCTTGCGGCACATTTCACTGCGAAACTTGAGCGGGTGCAGCCAGTACTCGTACACCTGATGAAAGAGGGGCAACGCAAGGGATTACAAGGTGGGCGCAACACCGACGTGATGGGTTGTCTACTGCACCAGCATGCGTGCTGGTGCCACCAGTGGTCCCAGTGCCGCTCTGGCCCACAGCCAAGGTGTGCATCGGCCTTGCCTTGCACAAACAGGGTCGCTCTGCTTGCCCTTCCACGCTGCTGGACAGGTTGAGCTGCTGGCACATGGCCAGGCCACTAGGAGCCGTGCGCTGCCCACCTGATGCGCCATGTCACAGGCGTCGCCCTTGGGGCAAGCGAACGCTCCCTGAGTGCGATAAGGAGGGACAGGGCAGGCTTCGTAGGAGCAGCGGCTGGGGGAAGGGGGGCATGCAGCTGCAGTCGGGCAGCACCTCCCACCCTGCCCAGCAGCCTCCCCTGCCCACCATTTTGGCATAAGGGCACATCACTGGCGTGTAGTAGAACCGCCGCGGGTCGCGCCGCCGCGCCTGCTCCTTGGGGTGCGCCCACGAGCATGAGGACCAGTCGTGGGACGTCTTCAGGGGGCAGGACAGGATCTTGAACGCGTACATGTGATACTCTACGGGGTCGGGCAGGGGAAAATGGCGCGGCATCTTTTAGACATGACAGTGTTGCGTCGAGCAGCAGCGCATCGTCATGCAATCTGGCGAGGCGCCCATGCCCTTGCCTTCACCCTCGAGAAGTAAGCGTCAGCTGCTTCTCAACGCGCGCTCATTGTGCCCGCGCATGCACTGTCCCAAGCACCTGGCGTCCGCGTGATGTCATGATCCGTCATCGTGCCTGGGGAGCTCATGGCTACAATGGCCTCGGGCCCCCTCCCAGGCCGAGTCGCTCCCGCAACCCCCGCCTGCGCGCGACAGGGGCGGTTGCAAGCGGCAGCGCTGCTCGGGCGCCGGTCGAACAACGTGCCGCGGCTGCATCGCGTACGTGCAGCGCGAGCAATAATCCGGAACGCCGTGTGCGTGCCACTAGGGAGGCCGCTGCGAGCGTTCACAGCGGCCGGCCGCCCAAAGCTGCGTCGAGCGCAGCATTGCCCGACACCAACCGGCACACCAGCAGCTGCCACCCCGCGCATGTCTTAAGTTCATCCAAGAAGAAACAGCAGTGCCAGGCTGCAGACCGCACTCCCAAGTATGCCCCTCTATCGCAAGACAGGCAGTCGGGCTGCGGGAGTGCCCCTTCGCGGGCCCCCTGCTCAAGAGGAGCCCGCCCGTTCGCTACCACGCACTGAAGCCATTCCCAATGAACTCTATCATCCCGCCATCGCTGTCGAGACCGCGGGCAACCACGGCGAGCGAACGCACCCCTGAGCAGTGAATCACTGGACAACCCCTCCAGAAGGGCGGCCACTGCAAGGTCGTGCAGTGCTATATAGACGATTGACGCCACGCGCCAGGGCTCGCGCGCGGGGCACACGTCTACGCTTCAAGGGGTCGCTTGAAGGGCGGTGCGTTGGATCTGCTGAGGCTTGCCATGTATAGATACGCAAGGCAAATTCCTAAGCAGCGCAGAAGCGGTCTCTCAGCTTGGTGCGGCACCCAATCCCCACCGGCGGTGCCCTCCCAGTGCCGACCCAGCTTCCCGACAAAGCGTCGCCGCGGCGGTGACGGATTACTTCAAGGTGAGCCATCGACGAGACATGCGGCATCGCACCCCAACGCATGCCACTTAGGCCTGGGGCAAATTGAATTCGCACACGCCGCACACTTAGGTCGCGGCAGTGGCTGTTTCGGCAAAGTTTTGGCATCGTTGCACACTCCAGCCGGCCGTGCGCACCGATATGAGACGCCACATAAGCAGCGGTGGCGCCGATGCGCTGCTTGTGCCGCAGTGATAGGCCACAGCATTGCCGAGCGGCTTGCCAACTGCCGCGAGCCAGCCAAGTCCGGGCACCTTAAGTGCCTGGCCGGCCGCAGCTACACGCTCAGCTGCCGGGCAATTTCTGGCACCCCGGTCGCGCCGGCCAAGCAGCAGCAACCTCTGGTCCCTGGACCTGCGCGCCCTGCAAATCATCAAGGCACATGTTGCTTAAATCAGCCATGTGGGCACAACATGCCAGTCATCGCGTTCTACGCATGCGTCCAGCAGGTGACGTTGCACGAGTGCCACATGGGAGCTGGAAGCTGCCAGAAGTTGATGATGATGCCTGCACCCCTGCTGCCAAGCAGGTGAGACCAAGCGTATTAATATAAAACAGCTGAGATTTAGGGGTATTGACAGGCGCACAGCTCCGCCGGGCCGCCATCAACGTAGGGAGGTGGGGCAGAGGGGGTGTCGTAACTGACTCGCTCCTTCCCATGAGCCTGATGAGTCACCCCTGTTTAATGCCGTTGTGTGCAAGTTCGTCAGATCAGTGAGCCTTCTGACTACGACTGTCTGATGGCTGTGCACACCGTAGTGGATGTAAGATTACATGTTGCACGAGAAGGCATGAGGGTCAAGACGTGCACGGCACGTGCAAACTGGCAGGGCGCACGTGTGCACTCACCTGCCGTTACATGAATGTGCAAGTTGGCGGCTGTATGACAGTGTACATCCTTTCCTGATAAGAAACAGCCATGGCATCCAAGGCCATGACATAGCAGCATTAGGCCGCACTATCTTGCAAGGATTTTTTGCACAGCAAAGGTGCCAACCAACTGCCGATTGTTTCTTGCAGGCATGACAGCGTCTGTTCGCTGGCCCGTTGGTCTGCAGGCTGCGGGTGCTGGAACAGCACAGCTTAACATGCTGTACACATGTCCATGCTTCATGTGCTGTCTGTCACCAGCAAGCCCACTGCTCGAAGGCAACAACCAAAACCAAAGGTTCCCCCCTTCTTCAGGGAACAGCAGGAGCATTGCTGATTGCTCGTTGTGCTGGAGTCAAATCCACGCATAACAGCACTATTCCTGCACTCCTTCACTTCCATGGAAGTGCCGGAATCAGGGGCCGGCCAGAAGTTGTATGCGCACAACATGACACCGCAATGCTGGCTGGCCCACTGAGATGGTGAACAAGCAGTTACATGGGAGGACTCTTCCATGAAACCTATGGGGTAACACCTGGGTGTTGGCTCAAAATACAAACAAAGCTTTGATGGACATGTGCAACCCTCCAACTGATAATACCACTCTCAAAATGCTTGCATGCTTGACACAGCTGCATGCTTGGTGGCGTGGCAGCAATTTACAGGGTAGGGACGAACTTGGTCGCGAACGCCCTGCAGTTAAAGGAGGATGGATGCGATGGCGTGCCGATGCTGTGAGCATTTGAGCTAGTTTCTCTTGAGCCCCATGAATCGCCACGCACACACAATGACAACCTTTTGGTGCAGCACCCACCATGCGTTGTTGACGCCGGGGTCGGCGAGGTGGCTGTCCAGGTTGGCGATGGGGCCCTCGCGGGTCACCAGGCCCTGCACAAAGACTGCACGAGTGGCGGCGTGTGCGAGCAAGTGCGCAAGTGTGTGTATGTGAGTGTGTGTGTGTGTGTGTGTGTGTGTGTGTGTGTGTAAGTGTGTGTGTGCGCGCGCGCATGATCAATCAAAGTCAGTGCCGTTGTGTGCTAGGATCGCGCGCGCCCAGGGGCCAGGCCTGGAACTGAGCAGGTCCAGCCTGTTCTGTGTGAGCGTCCTGTGCCAGCGCGGCGTGCTTGTGCTTGGGTGGGGCATTGACTGCTGCACTTACAGCCGAACATGGAGAACATGGCCAGCCGGCCGTTCTTGATCTCCTTGACCTTGAGCTCAGCCAGGGTGTCGGGGTCGTCAGCCAGGCCCAGGGGGTCAAAGGGACCGCCGGGGTAGTCAGCGTCCAGGCCCTCAGCGAAGCCGCCAGGACCCTCGCCGTTGGCACGGTAACTCTCCGCCAGGCCCATGACGACCAACTGCCAGTGTGTTGGGGGGACCAAGACGAGGAAGCACAAGTGTCAGGGGGCCAACCATAACGGGCGGCTGACCATGTAGACAAGGTTGCCTAGCTAGGCAGAAAGCGTGTGTCAAACTGATTGATCCCTCATTTGCCCGGCCCAGAATAAACCCACCCCGAGGCGCGCACCTGGAAGCCGAGGGTGGCCAGGATGGACTGGGCGTGCACCAGGTTGGGGTTGCCCAGGTAGTTGAGGCCGTCCTCGGCAAAGATGGCGGTGCCAGCCTTGAACCAGACGGCAGACTCGCCGAACGGCACGCCGTTCTTGGCCAGGAGCTCGGGGGTCACGCAGCCCAGGGCGCCGAGCATGGCCCAGCGGGCGTGGATCAGCTCGATCTTCCTGAAGCGGGCGAAGGTCGCAGGGTCGGCCGACAGGCCGGCGGTGTCCCAGCCATAGTCACCGGGGAACTCGCCGGTCAGGTAGGCGGGGGTCTCACCCGAGAGGCCGCCCAGGTACTTGGGGCGGTTCGGGCCTGCCAGCAAAGTTGTTTAGATTCGGAGGGGAGGGGGCGGCCAGCAGTTACCAAGGCACACAGGCGACGTGATGAGCAAGGGTTCCGCAGGCCCGCAGGGCAGCATCGACTGAGCGTGCTGATAACAGGTTTCATAGTGCCGCTGGTCCTTCCACAGCCACAGCTACTGTCGGCTGAATCATTCTGGCACAGCTCTTGCGTCCACGAGCCTCTGCCGCAACCCTTTGCTGCCAGCAGCCAACTCAACTGCAACGCGTGACTCCGCGCGAAGGGCACGTTGCTTACCATACCAGGCACTGTCCGAGGAGGAGCTCTTGACAGTGCGGCGTGCCTGCACGGTCACCACCGAGCGCTGTTCCGGGCGGGCAGCGGAGGGGGGAGGGCGGCGTGTGCTTGCTGACGTCGGCAGGAGATCTGCGAGCCCCGCGCACGTGTCAGACAAACACAGCCTAGCCCAGACAGAGTCTGCAGGCATGATCCGCTGCATACAGGTCCGTAAGGCTCTTGGCGTGATCGTGCACACGACCAGCTGAGCGCGAGATCTCCCGAACGGCAGAAGAAGCTCGGGCCCAGGAAGGGAGAGAGTACCGTCCGGTCATGCAGGTGCACTCACGCGCGACACGCCGCCAGAAAGCTGTGCGGACTTCCTGAGCATCTGCATCTTGGCAAGCTGACCCGGTGGTTGGGTGCCGGAAAAGAGGGGTGGCGACGCACTCGAAAAGGCAACCTGGAGTGCAGCATGTGGAAAACGGAAAACGTAAAAACACACCGGATGTCCACATCCGAAGGGTTCAGGTGGGTGCGTGAGTGACGGGTGACACCAAGCGGCAGGAGGCTCATGTAGTATTGCGTTGGTATGAGTCTCGTGTATCAAACCAATGTACTGTCTCATGACGCCGTTGACAGGTGTGTGATGCTCTGATGCGCGCTTGTCAAGAGCCGGGCTCAAACGGCCTCGTGACAGCAGGCAAGGCGCTCCGCTGCGCTGCAACGAAGGAGCGAGCATGTGCTTGTGTTGGGGCCAAACGGCGGCGATGAGCCCACCTGCAGCTGCCGCTCCTGCGGCTTGAGGCTGGGCTGTCTTGCAATGTACGGTTGGCGCTTTGGGACTTGACAGCCGCTTTCGCGGGGCCACAGGTTGAGGCCATGCTGGTTGCGGCCGCTGCACTCTTGCAGCCCAGGTTGGCATATACAGCAAGCTTCCTGTCTGCCCTGGAAGTCACAACACACACATCCCTGGAACACTATGCATTCCACCCATCCACCTCGACTGGGGCGAATCTGCCTCCTGGGGGCCCGCCATCAGCATGAGCCACCCATTCCGCCGCTGTGCCGCCCTCCTACTTGCACTGGCGCCCCACTACCCAGCCATGCAACTGTACATGCAGCGATGATTTGTGATAGGTGTCTTGCTGCGAGCTGTGAGGCCGGATGTCAGAATTGGCCAGCCGGTAGGAGCAGGGCCGACCTGCTCCGATGTGTGAACTGATTCCGAGCTTGTGCAGCAAGAAGCATCCCGCAAGCATCACAAAAACATGCTGAAGTCCGCCTGGTTGACATCAAACGTGATGATGGCACAGTACGCACATGCTGTAAGTGCCTCGTCGCTTGCCTCAAGCAGCATCGAAGCACGCACCATGGCTTCAGTTGGCGCTTCCTGTAGTGCTCGCCACCAGCTTGCCAAGGCTCACCTCTTGGCAGTGACGCTGTATGTAACGTGGAAGCCCGCAATTCCGGCTGCAAATACCCGACAGCTGACGTGGCGCACTGTTCCGATACGCATGACTTTGTGAGCGTGCATGTCCATGCTTGCTGGCTGCATTGTCAGGCTGTTGCAGCACGGTGCAATACGCTATGACCGGGTAAAAAAATTTACGACAAGCACCTGCCGGTCAACACAGACAGAAAATATTTCACTTACAGCTGAGGATGAAATATACTCAGGAGTTGCAGGGGTCAGCGGCAGCGCGGCTGCGCACACAGCGGGCCCAAGCAAGAGCCATTAAAGTCCCAGATAAAGTGCAACGACCTGGGTTCACAGCTGTTGAATCCCGCCGCCCCTGCACAACAGGTGCGGGAGCAACACAACCCCGCCAAGCAGCCTCCGATGGGAGTGTGATACTGCACGGCACTGGGAAGTTAGGCGTGGTGTCAGACTCAGGACCCAGCTCTGCACATCGCTCTTTGGCCCGCCACACCTGGCTGAGCCCCAGCCAACATTAAAAGTCCAAGAACCAAATGCCAGTGACACCTGATGGCTCACGAACAAAGCAGGTCATGCAAACAGGCAACTGCATGCCCCTGCGCATGGTGCATGTTTAGTAGTTTGCTGACAGGTCGGCTGCATTCAACCCTGGCAGTCAGCCAAGCCCACGGCACATCACGCCCTGTCCTGCACCAGGAGTCGACGACTCGTGCTGCAGGACCCCGCAGCTGGCGGCGCACTGACAGGATGGGCAGGCCAGATGGGCCGTGCATGGATGTGGGCATGATGGCAACCAAGGAAGGTGCGGCAGCCAGCAATAATACAAGAAAGGTGTGACTAGAACCAATAAAAGATTGACACCATGTTGCTCATCTCAAAGCCACTCAGCTTGCGCCAACCAGATAAAGGGAATGGATCGTGTGTGGGGGCAGTGGCAGCAGTAGCAATGCTGCCCTTTTCCCCAGGGCCACAACGTATCACGTGCACCGCTGTGGGGCCTGGAAGTTTGAGGGCAGACTGCCGTTGTTGTAGCGACCTAGCAGCCCCGCCTGCAACGCCACCACGCGAACTTGGTCCATGCTCATGGCACTACCCTCGCTGGTGGTGCCCAGGAACTTGGCCACTGCGTCGTACGCGTCCTGCAGCTCAACAGTGGGCAGCCGCGCGCCGCTGAGGAAGTTGAGTTCGGCGGCCACAAACTCTCTCGCCGCGTCCAGGTAGGCCTTCTTGGCTGCGGGCATGCTGGCAGGCGCCACGAGCTGAAGCATGGTGCTGTAGCTGCGCGTTGTGCGCTGATTTCCTTTGGGGAAGAAGATAGTGCCCTTGCCCTTGCCGCCAGGCAGCAGCTTCCATCCACTGGCACACTTGAGGTCCGCGGCCGTGTCGCACGTCGGCCACCAGCTTGGCGAATTGACGCAGTCCGCAGTGCGTGCCATGTCCGTGTACACGCTGCAGCCAATGACGTTGATGGGCAGCACACTGGTTGCGGTAGTGCTCTTGGTGGTGCTGTTGGACCACAGCGACGCCGTGTTGATGGCCTGGGCTCGCAGCGTGTGTGCGTGTGTAGGAGAGAGTGTTTGAGGGTGTGCACGTGTGTGAGTGTGCCCGCAAGTGTTTGTGCGAGTGTACAAATATGTGTGTGTGTGTGTGTGTGTGTGTGTGCGCGCGCGTGTGTGTGTGTGCGCGCGCGTGTGTGTGTGTGTG